CACTGCGGCCCGTCAGTGCTGAGGCTTTCTGCAGTATGGCGGAGGGACTGATGCCTGTCCAGTTGGAGCTTTTCTCACTTTGCTCTGAGAGCGAGTCACTGCGGCCCGTCAGTGCTGAGGCTTTCTGCAGTATGGAGGAGGGATTGATGCCTGTCCAGTTTGAGCTTTTCTCACTTTGCTCTGAGAGCGAGTCACTGCGGCCCGTCAGTGCTGAGGCTTTCTGCAGTATGGAGGAGGGATTGGCCCTGGGTGTCTCGTGTTAGTGCTGCATTTCACACCTTGACCTGGTCAGCAGTGGGCTGAGGTGTGACCTCAAGCTGAGATGTGGCTGGCAACTGATCCCGTCACTAAGCGGAGCACAGATAGTTGGAGACAGATAGTCTCCATGGCAACGATGGACAACACCCAGTGATACAATGAGGACATGTGGGAGCAGACGGACTGTTATTTATTAAACCTGCCACTGAGGGCTGTGTAGGGATGAGTGACTGCAGTGATTGCAGTGACACTGAGCTGTCTCCTTGTTTTGGTGAACTATTTAATGTTATTTACAAAACACTTTAAAGCTTTTTTTTTATTATTTTATTAGTTTAAAATTTAGTAGCAGTATTAGGAAAATACTGTGTGCAGGAGAAATACACTCCCTTGAATTTGAAATGGAGAAAAGAAAAAAGGCCTTACGTATTCGGTGTTATTTAAAATGGTTCCGCCAGGCGAAATATACATTATTCAGAAGCAGTACCAGTGTAGCACTTGGTCGTAGCAGAATGAGATAAGTGTATATGCAAGGAAAAAAACTGAATGCTGTCCATCTCAGAATTTCATTTTATTTTTGGCCCCAAGGTACTTGAGAACACTTGGGTTAATTAAAGCTGTTACTTTAGCAAATGCAGATTCTAGGATGGATGACATTTAATAGTAGTAATAGTAGATCTGAAGTGATACAAAAGTAAATTAGCTGGTCTTTGGTCACAGGAAAAGGAATTTACTGTCAAAAATACTTTAATATGGAATGAATCTTCTTCAAAAGTGGAATAAAACATGGTTGTTTTCCAAATATCATCAGGTACACCTGACGTTTTTACCAAGACATTTATGGGAAAAAACCTGACAAATAAAGTAATGCAGTAAATATTTTACAGAGCATTTATAATGTTAGAACATGTTATATGCAAGAAAAAGGTTGACAGACTTCTTTAAATTTTGTTTATTTTAAGGTAAAATACTGTATATATCGATTTATGTAGATACAGTATATGTGCTATATACAGTACAAATGACTTTCTATTAAATTTCTGCATGTCTCCATAAATTTTTAACAAAAATGTTGGGAAGTGATAAGAATATTTAGTTGCAACTAGTTGTGACAGATGAACTGCATGTTTATTGTTATCATGAAAACCACATTAAACCAGATAAATCATTTCATTTACACGCGACATGCATTCATATGAGTGGCCCTGTGAGTGATAATTGATACTTAATAATTAATAAAGTCTCAAACACATCACCACTGTCCTCTTACACTAACACTACTAACCCTATCATACTCTCGTCATTTACGGTCACACTTCTCATGGTCAGAGCACTGCTCTCCTTGCACAGAGAACTATAGCTACTTATATGCACATTATATGCTTGCACGATAGTCTGAATAACAAAGAACAACAGTAGAAGTATGTGAGTATGATGGTATATATAAATGAAGCAAATTGTATATGTGAACCAAAAGTCTAATGCATGTATGAGAGAATAATATTATATTTGAAATCAGATAATAGCATATGTAAGACAAAAAAGTAGTACATGTAAATGCAGAAAGTCATACAGTATACAAGGAACAAAATGAAGAGAATGGTAGGATATGTGAATGAGAATAGTTGTTTGTGTGAGAGAGTTTGAAAATGGAAGGGAGTTTCATTGAGATGGTACTAAATTCTCAGTTCCTCATCAGTTATCTTTGATGAAGTCTGCCTTCCGAGTCATGATTGACCGGGAGTGAATATCTGGAGCCATTTGCCAATAGGTGGCAACACGCTACAAATTCAGAAAACACAAATTCTGAAAACACATGTAAAACAAAAAACGCTTCAAGTCCACTAAAAACACAACAGACATTTCTGTGGGGACAATGAAACAAGACAGACCATTGGGGCTGGATGGCATATCAAATGTTTATTGGTAACACTGTATTGGTATATTTTCAGAATGAGCTATAGGATGACACGATACGATTACTATCAATATACTTTTAAAGTGGGTTAAAATTAAGGCTCTATTAAAGATTTTGAATAAAGACCAATAGCATTCCTTCCTGGTTGAAAGCTATACATGATGATGCAATCATAGGTTTCAAATTACTCTAACTTTTAAGCTCACTCTTACCGCATCATAAGTGTTTCGTTTGCATCGATAAAATGCCTTTTTCCTTTTATTAACAAATGGTGTGCTTTTATTAATTACTATATAGAGAGACTTTCCATTTAGCTTGATAGTATTACAGACATGTTTTATTTGATCATTAATGTATACATATTAAGCCTGATACTTGAGGACCAGTGTAATGGAATATTTTGAATTGCTACGTTTTCATTTATATTTATTTAATTGTTTTCTCCATTTTTTTTTTCAAGATGTGTTTTTGTTGTGTTGAGGAGAAAATATTTTAAAAAGAGCAGCGATAATTCACCTTCAATTTCTTATACTATATAAATCAATCTTCTGTTTAATTGGTTGGGTTTTCATGTGCAATTTGTTCAATAGAAGCACGATTGAAATTTATTTAATTTCTTTAGTGGGTGTAGGCTGTTCACTGTCAGGGGTTATGTACCAATTAAAGGAGAAAGACATAGGAACTGTATAGCTGTTTATTTGTTTATTATTAAAGTCATATTGTCATTGCAATATTGAACAATGTTATCACACATCGCAGATGCTCTTCATATTGTGCAGACATACATTTTTAAAAATAACAAAGAAAAAAATCTTGTTTTGCCGCAAGTAACATTCAAACAAGAGATAAAAGATCAATAGTTATCAATGAACTTTTACAGTATGTACCAAAGTTATCATGCATCTTCATACAGTATTCAATGAACCCTTATGTTCATAGATTTGAACTTGTCCAATGTATTTGACATTGCCACTCATCCTATTAGCAAAACTGTAACTGTTGCAGATATTTTTCTTAGGGCAAATACATTGTAATTGTAGCAATTATCAAAATGTGAACCTTATACTGGACATGGCAGATGGCATTTTGTGTGACACTTTGACAGGTTTGGGGGTGTATATGTCATTTGTGCATTGTATGTATGTGTGTGTCTCTGTGTGTGTGTGTGTGTGTGTGTGTGTCCCCACAATATTATCCTCAATTTTATAAAAATCTGTGACTAAAAACCTAAAAATGCCCAAGTCTTGTATTTCTTTGGTTACTTATAGTTAAGGTTAGGGCTGAGTAGGGGTTAAGGTTAAAATAGTTGGGATTAGGGTTTTTCCCATAGAAATAAATAAGGATTTGATTGATTGATTGACTGACTGACTAACTCACTGACTGATTAATTGATTAACCAACCACACAAGGTAATACCGTATATTACACTTTGCAGTATAATATATAGACCACAGCAAAGTATCCACATATTATCAGCAATATACAATGATACAGTACAATACAAAACAATATTACACACAATAACATGCATCATACATGTTAGTTTACATGTCAGTAGCGTGTGACGAGGAGACTAAAGGAAGAAGTTTAGAGACCTGATACAGTAGCTGCAGGGAACAGCTATTGGTGGATCTTTAGTCTGAGTGGGCCGTGATCTGTAGCGCCTCCCTGAGGGAGGGGGCTGCAAGAGATGCTGAGCCAGATGTGTGCTTTGCTTGCTTAATGTCCAGTGCATATGTAGAGATTCAGTGTAGAGGAGTGGGTCACAGGTCGCCTATGATTTTGGATGCCTTATTCACAATTCCTGTGGAATTTTGTAACATATTACTTTATAAACCACAAATAAGTCAATGGGGACTTAAAGTCACATGGTGTGACCTCTGTGTCATCATATAAGTAACTTGTTTTCCTTCACAAGCCACTGTCAGATGTCTTGGTATGCCCAGTGCGTGTTGTCGAGCGGTTCCGTGACCTACGTCCAGAAGAGGTTGCTGACCTGTTCAAGACCGTTCAGAGAGTGGCAAACGTTGTAGAGCAGCACTTCCAGGCCACGTCCCTGACAATCGCCATACAGGTACGTGTCACAACCTAAGGCCTCAATGCTCAGTGAAGGGCAAGGGATTGTTGCAAATGAATGCACGTGTGTTTTGCTTGACTGCAGTAGTTTTCTTCTTAATCATTCTGAACATCCTATACTGTGTTTTCTCTGCTAAAAAATACTTAAATATCACCTCAGTACTTGGCCTATCAAACAGCACACTTGTAGTTCATTTCATTTCAAGCACTTTTACTGTACAGAATCCGTGGTTTTATGTGACTCCACAAAATATGAAGTCATTCGACTATCAGAATGTTGCCATGGACACAATTTAGCCCTGACACTGATGTGGAGATTGTTCAGTAATAACTGTGATCATGTAAAATGTAATGAGATAAGGCATCGCATCAGCCTTAAGAACCATTACAGTATGTAATTTTCATTGATCTTTTTAGGCATTTCTAGGATATCTTTCGATTTATAGGTTTTTTTTTTAATTGTGTATAAAAAGTTGAAGCAGGTGGGGTTAAAATTATTATTGTCCATTTTTTAAATTAACTTTATGCTCTGAATATTATATGATTTTTTTCCTGATGAGCTTTACATGTTGCCACACAAAGCTAATACTACCTGTCCTCCCTGAATGCGATCATACAGTAGGTAGGTTTTGTAATGAGAATTAACAGAAGCACACCCCCTGCTGGAGTAATATGGAAGCATTGATGCAGACACAATGTAACCCACCCATATACAGTACTGCCACTCTTTCAGATGTGTATTCTGCTGCTTTTTGTTTTAAATGGATTCAATACTAAGTAACTGTCCTCAAAATGGTATGATGTGCATTCCTGCATGCGCTCAGTGTACTAAGAATAATGAACAAAATTTGATATTTATGTTAATCTAAGGGAAATATTTCCCTGAGATATACATTTTTAATACATTCTTTTTTTTCCCAGTCTCATTGTTAAATTTGTTGTTGTTTTTTTGATGCTATTAGAGTATAAATGGTTTGTGGATGGATACTTGTTCTGATGTTTTAAGTTTGTATAGTAAGCGATTTAAGTCTAGAGGTTTTCAGCTCGGGGCCGTGGCCTGTGGAAGGGGCGTGGCCTATGGAAGGGGCGTGACACATGGAGCGTGGTCTGTGGAAAGGGGCGTGGCCTGTGGGGGTGTGACCTGTGGGGGTGTGACCTGTGGGGAACCCACAGAGCAGCTGCAGGGGGGGTCACACAGACGCTTATGAAACTGACAGAATGCTGGTATATTTATAAAGCATTATTATTAAAACTACCCCTGCCAGAAAAATAAGGGCTATTATAGCCATTAATGACTTATTTGGTCATGCATTAGTGCGTTTCATTTAGGGGCCCCGTTTTTAAGAAAAGCTATAAACTGCTGCATTTTTTTTCCGGTTTTGTTGTTTCTTGATCTATCAAGGTAATCATGCATGTCAATAATGAAGAATCTGTTTGCCTAATCCTCTGTTGTCATTTAAATGCGATATGAAGTAAGGATGGTAATCAGTTCCAGCGTTTTCCATCTGTCAATTCTTATTAACTTTAAGCGAGTTGAGAATTCAGCTGCGGCACACAGATTTAGACCAGAATCACCCAACTTCAAAATTGAGATTCACTTCAAGAAGTGCTGCGATCCATCTAAAATTGAAATTCTCTTTCAATGTTAAACAATATATTCCTAAATTCCCAGCAGTGGCTAATTATCTCTTTTTGTTTCCCGTCAGGATGGTCCTGAAGCCGGACAAACAGTAAAGGTGAGAACTTAAAAATTCTCTTCTTTTAAATATATTATGAAGTCTTTGTGACAGTCATATCATATTAAATAATAATCACATTTCATTCGTGGCTCCTAAACTCTCAGGACGTGTAAATTATTAACATACTGGTTTCAGATGGCTTGGTCTACGCTTGTGGGAAATGCCAGGGCAGTAGACTTTCAGGCGATACAGTGAATGTAATGAGGGTTATGTCAAGGGATCTTGCCCTTAGCTCTCTCTGAATCACATTTTTTCAAGTGATTGACTTGTAATGTAAGACACTGACTTTTTTGTGAGATGAGTCAGTCCAGGAGCTGTTAAAAAAGAACTGTGTAGCAAAGTCATAATTCGAGTAACTGTTGTTCCCACCAAAAAGCTATTGTCAGCCAATGACTGTTGCTTGAATTTTTGCTTGAATTTAAAATGCAAATGGATGCTTTACAGTCTTCATAATATGCATTTTCTTATTGACCATGTGTTATAACCACTGTGGATGGGCTCTACCATGAGTCTTTCATTGATGTGATGTAGGAAAAGGTGTACTGGGGACAGAAATAAAAGCATCTTTAAACCACTTTATAAAGTATTAACAGATAACGACAGGTAAATGCTGATATATATGTAAACTGTGCTGGAACATATTGCAAAGAAGCATAGATTTACAGTAGGCCCATTATTTTTTGCAGGTAGCTAAAATAATCTGAATGATACATTTCTTGCAGGATTTTAAGATTTCCTCTGTGGGGTGGAGATATAAAGGCAGCCAACAGGCAGCACTTATTGTAATTTTAATTATAATTTGCTTCCCAAAAAGGACTTTGAAAGTCCAGTAAAGTATTTGTAATGGCCTTTCAACTTATTATACCTTTTATGCTAATTGCCTGATTGCAAACCTTAATGACTGAATATTGGTTTTGATTTGTTAATGCATTGCAGTATTAAATGCACCTTTCTACCAAGGTAGAACAGGCTCTCTGAAACTGACAGGCTGCAAACCATCTTGCTTTTTCTCCATTTGAAATAGAGACTGAAATCTTCCTCAAAAAGATGCATGATACTAAAAGTACAAGTAAAAATACATAACTGACCTTTAAAAGAGGGACTAAGAACCATCATTTAAAATACAGACAATGGAGTCCAAAGGAGCTCAACTCTGCCTCCTTATGTCCAAATTGCACTTTGGTGGAGCTCAACTCTGCCTCCTTATGTCCAAATTGCACTTTGGTGGAGCTCAG